AGGGGAGGAGGCAGTGATGAATGAATCAGACCCAGTTAGAAAATCCCCAACCCGAGGCAAAAATGAGGCCGGTTTTACTAAAAGCTGCTTTAGTGCCCTGCATCAACAGCTTTGCTAATATTATAGGCTCTTTCAGGCAATGCCACATCGCCAAGGTTCTTGACAACACGGAGGATGAGGCGTGCGGAAAGCACCGTCTAAGGACATGGCCCGGGCTGAGTCTAAAAGCAACGGAAGGGCTGAATTCTCAATGTGAAAGTCTTAAGGCTGCCCTGGTCAATTCATTGCATTTACATCGTCCTTTTAAAATGTTCGCTCGGGAGTGATATTTGATACAAATCTATGACTAAATAAGTCTAAATGAGTTCTTTTAGTATACAGTTGGTGCTCATTATTTGTGGTCTTTAAGTTTTATGCTCAATGCGAACAACGAATTAGCAAATTGCTCCTAGGGGAAATTCCAGGTTGGGTTCCCACAAGCTTCTGGTCACATTTTTGTCAATCGATCAATACGTCACTTTGTTTTATGTGTGTTTCTATTTAAAGACACCTTACTTATATTGTTGATGAATTAGCATTGAACTCGCCGCCAACAGCACTATAACTCAGCCTGAACGAAGCTTCTCTAACATACTATTTTCTCTGTAAGGCACATGACAGCCTTCCTGTGCTCAGAAACCCGAGACCACACTTCAGTACTGTGCTACGAACATTTTAAACATCGAAGTCACCAGTAAGAAGTACAAAAATGTGACACTACATTAGGACATTTGTTTGCAGAACAAGCACTGAAACCTGAAGGTAAGGTGTCACCTTGTTCAACCTCAGCCGGGATGGACAACTCAGATTTTTGTCGCTCTCCCAAATCCACAAATGACCACAAAAGACCACAAATACTGATTTTGGGGTTACAGATGAATTTCAGCGAGGGGAAGAATTCACAAATACAGATCCATGAATAATGAGGATCAACTGTACATAAAAATTCTAAGTGACAAGAAAGCACCGTGTCACAGAAAGACAAATGTCACATGTTCTCACTCATACGTGGGAGCCAGAAAAGCAGACCTCGACGGGGTGGAGAGTAGAATGATGGTTACTGGAGGCTGGGAAGGGCTGGGGGAGGGAGGACGGAGATAGGTTGGTTAATGCACAACTAGTTAGTTAATGCACAACAAACGCACAACTAGTTAGAAGGAATAAGTTCTAATGTTAGCACAGTAGGGTGACTATAGTTAACAACAACATATTGTATATTTCAAAATAGCTAGAAGAGAAGCTTTGGAATGGTCCCAACATAAAGAAATGATAAACGGTTGAGGTGATGGATACCCTAATTACCTTGATTTGATCATTACACATTGTATTCATATCAAAATGTCACATGTACCCCATAAATATGTACAATTATCATGTATCAATTTTAAAAAGGAAAAGGCAAATGACAAAACAGAGGGATGTCTTGGTGAGATGTGCCTTTACAATTCATTACGAAAAAGAACACTTGGATAGAAAAATGAACAGAACATAAATTGAAAATTTATAAAA